TTGCTCTCTGACAGAACCACTACTACTACGTTGTGCACTTCCGCTCCCCACTTTTTACACACCTCCATCACCTTCGTCAATAATTCCCCTGAATGCATTTCCGTTGACAGTCTCGCCCATATCCAAAGAATCCGAACAGTGGTCCTCCCTTGACCTCGATATACATTTCGGCTGGCAGCCTTCAACGTTAGAACCCTTATGCAAATCAGACAATAGGCCAGCCTACCGCCCATCTTGGAGTCCCTCGCTATCGATGTCCATTGCCCATCTGAAGCTCGATTATAGTACTCCAGCACCGTAGTTAAAGTGACGTCTCATGCTGATCTCGAGACCAAAGATTCACTACATTTGTCTGGTGACACAGAAACTGATGCGGCTGGTTTGGCTAGTGTTGGCATCGCACTGAGTGATAAAGCTGAGGCCTCGCTGCTCCATTGGTTCCCGATTGACAGACGATTATGTGCGATTCGACTCCAAGTTTCAAGCAGGATCAATGGGAATCGTACAGAGGCGTAACTTGTTTGTGGTTTCCGCTTACGCTTCAAGAGACTTCAGTTGTGCACCGGTTAAAGACGACTTTTATCGCGGACTCCACCGGTTCTTAAGTAAAGCCGAAAAATCTGATGTCGCCATCCTCGCTGGAGAATTCAATATAGGGGTCGACCGCCTGCTACCATGCGAACGTCCCCTTAGTGGCCGCCATGCCAACGATGACAGTCATTCTGATAACGGAGAAAGACTTCTCACGCTGTGAGGACAACCGGCTTTTTGTATCGAGCGCGAACCTCAGGCATTCGAAGAGACGACGCCACCTAGTGTTCCCCTTCGCCAAGGCAAGCGTGGTCACAAACTGATCACATTGTAATCAGATACAGATGGCAGGACAGTGTACGGGATCGCATATTGATTTGGTCCACGTATTTCGACTCAGATGACGCTCTGGTCTGTGCGAATATATACATGCGCTTTGGGGGAATCTCAAAACTAGAGCACTGTAAGTTGGATACCAACAAGTTTGCTAACCCATCCATTTAACTAGCTTGTCAATCCTCCTTAGTAAATGCGCTCGCTAGTGCTCTACCTAAAGATGTCGAATAACACTTTAATTGCTTGTAGAGGTTGTTTTCTTCCACTCTATCATTCTGTGGAATCACTGGGCGTTCTCTGAGAGGATGGATTTCTGCTCGCCCTTTGGAACTGTTTGACTGTCGGCGAGCTATCCCAGTTAATTCAAGCAACGGTGAAGTCCGCCGCAACCTCAGCCAACAACCTAAACAAAACGTATGTAAGGATCGTAAAACTTAGTGGTCTCAGTACGCTTCAAAGATGGAGACAATAGCACCCTGAAAATGTTCGAAAGCTTTTCCAGATCACTTGGACCACTGGCCATAGAAGACTTGGCGTCAGTGGTTATTTGCGAGGTTGATGGATTACCAATCACTAATTTGCGTGGACGTATGGACCGCTTGGCTAAGCACTTCCACCCTCACTTCAGATGGCCTTCTCTTTCCAACTGCCTGACAATTGTGCCTAATTGCACGCATTAGAACGTTTCACTGAAACTACCCACGGAAACAGAGGTCTGCCTTTAGCTCGCTCTCTTGAAGCGATTCAAGGCTGCTGGCTCAGATGGACTCTTTGGAGTCGTTCAACCACGGTAGCCAGGCAATTGTCAATTAGTTAACAGCTCTGTTCTACAAGATTTATAGCGTAGAGAAGGTTCCATCACTTGGGGCGAGTCGGTTAGCGTATCGATCTACAAAAAGAATATCCGCACGTGGTGCGCTAACCACAGAGGAATTAGCCTAATATCCATTACCTCCAAATTGATAACATACATTCTGCTCCCCAGACCCATCGCAACGAGACCCATGGAGCTATACTGGGTGACACCTTCCAGGTGCCATCAGCCACTCATTCCAGATCGATCAATGGTTAGGGGTTAGACTAACAGTCACACAATCCAATACTCTTCGGAGCCTAGTCTATGGCCCTCTTCCTTTAAAACCTAGCCAAGGGAGACAACAGAACCACGTGTCATAAGTTCACAGCTCGATTGGCGTAAAGCACAAGCGCCTTGCAATCGCTGATGGTTGGAGGGCACATTCCGGTGCTCAATGGTCTTGTACCGCCCGCCTCAAGCCAGACAACCACCAGGTCAAATTGGTGCAAAACCCGGCAACTCCCGCCTGCGGCTGGCCGTGGTCGCAGGTGCATAACATGATATGGTCCTAAAACACATGTGAATTATACCAAATCTTCAAAGGCTGTGTTTGACAGGCATCGAGCAGATCCCAACCGGTCTCTGCAATCACACTCCCGAGCTGGACTTGCTCCTCACTGCCTTGTGGATTGAGCTATTGAGCCAAAGGCTCCGGGTGGAGTCCATCAAGCGAACCTCTAAATTTCCCACTGCCTTGTAGGTCAGGGTACTGAGCCAAAGGCTCCGGGTGGAGCCCCTCAACCAAACCTTCAAATCCCCCACTGCTTTGTGGGTTAGACTGTTGAATCAAAGTCTAAAGGTTGGACACCTCGAACAAAACCTCTTTCTCGGAATGGGCAGCCAGAGAGTATTAGTTACCCTCTGGACTCCATCGACAGAACTCCTTCCTATTTTTCTCTCCCTTCTAGACTCTCTACCTCCTCGTCTATTGAGCAAGAACCTGCCGCTGCCATCGGTACCTGTAACTCATTCATCAAACCACGAGTCGCATATCACATTGGTTATTTTAACGTCGTACTATAGGTCAGACCAGTCAACAGGCAGCACTGACACACATTCTTCAGTCTCTTGGTATTGATGTGTGCAGTGTCTCCGAAACACGCATACATGATAACAGCGTTGTGACAAATGTTCGAATCATTGGTTCTGAATCTGAGGACGGTGACAACACTCTTCGCGTCTCTGGTGATACCGAGTCAATGGCACAAGGTATTGACGGTGTTGGTATTGCCCCCAGCTAACATGCTGTAGGCAATCTGATCGACGGGATACCGGTGAACAGAAGCATGTGACCGGTCCGACTTTGAACTACCGTTGGAGTCGATACGCACCGTATGAAGACAAGGTGTCTTTTCATCGCCTCTGTTTATGCTCCTACTGAATGCAGTCCGGAGGGCACCAAAGATGATTTCTACTACCAGCTTTCATCTCTTCGCTGCACGATAAATAATAGTGACATCATGATTGTTGCTGGGGATAAGAATGCCCAAGTGGGTCGTCTTTCAGACTCTGAACAATACCTGGGAGGTCGCTTCGGAGTCGATGCACGCCCGGTCAGTTTGATCGGAGCGCGTAAACGAGTTCCAGTGGGCACTTAGTTTCAGCGTATCCGTAACTCCCTGAAACGACGTCTGATAAGGAGTCTTCGAATGGACCGGGAATATTGGTGTGTTGAAAAGGCTCGTGAGATGGAGAAAACCAGTGTTATTGGAAAGAGCCGAGTGTTATTCCAGCTCATCCGGAACATGGGTCCGGGAAAACCATTAGTTAGCGAGACAATAGCTGAAGAAGATGGACTGTTGATCCATTCTCAGCGTTGGGCGAGACACTTCGAAGAGCAGTACAGCAGGCCTGCTGCGACACTACCGCTTGCCAAATCGCATGAGCCGAGATTCGACGCTTGAAGCGGTTCAAGTCTGCCGGCTCTGACGGACTTTCTCCGGAGCAGTTCAGGTACGGCGGCGCGGCAATCAGTAACCAACTGACCATGTTATTCGTAAAAGTCTGGTATGGAAAAGTGCGAATCAGTTATCGTCCCGGTTTGCAAGAAAGGCGCTTGCAGTTCATGTGTCAATCATTGAGGGATTAGTCTCATTTCGGTTACCTCCAACCTGTTGGCATGCATGCCGTTCCTAGACTATCAACAGTACATGAATCATACTACCGTAAAGAACAAGCCAGTTTCGTCCCGATCCTGGATGCGTGGATCAAATATTCACGCCCCGTCAACTCCTCGGACATCGCCACATTTATCAAAGGCCCACTATCGTTGCGTTCCTCGACATAAGGACTGCATTTGATTCGGTTGATCGACTTGATTTATAACGTTGTTTGCTATGGAACAGGGTGTCAGATAACTGTACAATCACGCAACACGGACTTTCGCTTCACATCTCCGGCAAAGTGATGGTCTACGACAAGCTTCCCCCGCCCTTCGCTGTCAATAGCGGTGTGCGATAGGGTCATCTTACTTCCCCGTAATGCGGCCACGGAGCATAATGCACCCCGAGGAAGCCGACCAACGGGCATACAGAGAACATGACATAGCTAACGTAAGCGATTACGACTTAGCAGACATCTGAGAGCCACTAGAAGGCTACTTGGTAAAAACAAACTGGTGGACCTATAATATATAATAGTAATCGCCAGTCGTACACCGTAAGGGCGCTCCGCTGCCACGCGACCACCATCAGTCGCGCGTGGGCTGAGTAGACCGCGAAGACGCCCGTTCCTACGCGAATTCGAACCGGTGACCTTATGGTTACAAACAGACGCGCATACCACTCGGCCACCGGCCGGCTCACCCGGTGTTCCCATCAAACATGACCAACACTCCGGTGAGGTTCATGGTAAATAGGCAGCGAATTAGGGTATGATCACGGACTATGCACTCGCACCGATAAGCGCAGCAGTTCAGGAAGGAAACGAGCCAACTGAAATATGGTGATGTGCTCTAGTTGAATGCATCGCTGGGCAACTATCAGAGGATTCAAAATGGCAGATCAGCGCCGTGTACTGCGGAAGACGTTTTATTAAAATATAGTCATTAAAAACCGAATAAAGGTATGTAAATCACAGAGGTCACAATGGGAAGAACAGAGAAAAAATGAATTATTTTTATGATTTTCACACAGTAAAAGAGGTGGATTATAACACGCTCATTTGCGTTGATCATAGCCCCCAGGATAACAAGGTACACAGTTAGTAACTATGACCAGTAATCTGGAAAGAGGACGACGAAATGCATACATAAATGGGAGGATATAAAATAAGATACCTGATTATCGACCATGAGAGCGACGGTCATAAAGAGATCGTGCAGTTCGGCGATACTGTTTTCCAAGCGAATGATATCAGCATGCCGTGCCTCAATATCCAACAAAGATCGTTTTGCTGCGTCCGTAGAAGCCATGATCTGGAAATGATGCAAAAAGTGCATGCACGTAGTCCTTAGTCGAAGCTTGGTTTGTGTTGTCTGGTAGAAATCATATTGCAGGGCGAAGCTCAGAGGGAAGATCAGATGAGTAGTTTTAGGTGCACTACGGGATGACTACCAACGGCACTAAGAAAGTAGATCGATGTGTAAATCAGTTCACTATATAAAATACGGTGGAGCGGGCACATGGGACTAAAAAGGACAGACAAGAAGCTAAAATATAAGCGGCACAGGCTACGAGAAGCGCAACTGTGAGGCGGAACTTTAGCTGCAGACAGGAAACTGTCAACCAAACCTCCTTAAACTTAGGCATGAGAATCTAGGTGACTTAAGGGCGTAACATGTCCTTAACGATCGTCCAGGATGTGACCATGATAGGGTGACGGTTCCAGTAGAAGCGACTGAATAAACATTACCATAAAGGATGCCTCTAAGTAAAGCTATGACAATCATCATCATCAACACTATACACGTTAGCTAGAGGTGGAAAACACCTCAGCAATTATGCCACAATACATTATAAAAAAGAAAAAAACTGCAACTTAGGCACACCAACTAAGCAATCAGTAATGGATGGGCATCATTCCGGAAGGCCACCAGCCCGTATTGCGTCGCAAGCAAAAAGTTTACTGTGTAAAACTTAAAGTATGCTAGGAAATGAGATCGTAGTTGGAGAGGAAGGCTAGGAAAAGTGAGGGACAAAAAAAGCCCAACACAAACCATACTGAGGTCGGCTCCAAGCCATGTCAGCAAGTGTAACCAACCAAACCTGCTCATCGCCCTTGGGACCCCAATCAGGGAGCCGAGAGACTCCAACCAAGGACAACTTCGAACCAAGTCGTCGTTTGGCGCAGCCATCGGAGACTGGGGGATGAAATAACGGTTGAGCGGTTCATTTCCTCTTCCCGCGCCACAAACAAGGCGTCGAATACGCTCATTGCTCACACGGTGCTCCCACCAGATATGAGCCAAATTGCGAAGACACCGGTGATCGAATGTAACTAGCCTCTTTACGTCTGCCAATCTAATGGGCCAGGTTTCACAACCGTACAGCAGGGTCGAAAGTACGGCTGCATTATACACTCTATTCTTCAGGGAGAGAGTGATGTCGCGCGGGCGCGATAAGCAGCGAAGGTTAGCAAAAACGCCTTGTGTTTCGTGACCTCTTCGCTTCCATAGGCGCTAATACAACTGCCCAGATAGTTGAATTTTTGAATAATTTCTAGCTTATTACCATCAAGGGTCAGCTAAGTAGGCAATACTTGCCAATCTTGGAGGAAAGTTTTAGACTTTGAGGGTGCAAAGCAAAGCTAGAAGCGGCTGACAGCCAGCGCTAATCTGTCCAGTGCAGCTTGGCACGTTTGTAAGCTGTCTCAGATGAGATGAGACAATAAGCTGACAGACTCCGAAACGTGAAACTGGTCAGATGAGTGGTGCCGCTTAATGACAAAAAGTATGAAACTTTGTGGACAACTGAGCAATTGTTAAGCCAAAATCGCGTGGAAATTGACAAAATGAACGCACTCAAATAAATATGAACAAGGAGTGAAAACGTATGAGGGAGTGCCGAACCGCCTGAACAACACAATGTTATACTCTTCAAATGATTTGTTGATGTTTTGACCGACGCAGAGGATAATAAATGACACTCTATCTGCTGCGCCGAGCAAGAGATGAAGCTGCTACTGTTCATGCCTTCCCATATTCTCATTCCCCCTCCTCCGCTCCCTCATCCTTACTGTCCCATTCTAACTTACTTTTACCCCACCTCTTTTCAATCCACTAATACTTGACCCTCTGCGCATTGCTTCAGTAGGCATTCGTCTTCTAATTGCGACTCATGCCCCCACAGGGTGTCGCTCCGGTCCAATCAATAAGTTTATGTTCAACCAAGCGTACATCAGTTCATCCGCTTGCATTTAGAGCCCTTGATCATCTCAAAGATTAGCATGTCTGAAATTGCACCACTTGATACAGATGGACCAACAAGCAGCACTTGCTCGAACACTGTATATCATATCGATCAACAGCTGCTATTTATCAGAAACCCGCCTGAAAGTTTCGCGTTCTGTGCTTACTCTATGATCCCAGTAAGTGACTTTGGCGGCACCTTCTCATTAGGTCGATTCGATGAAACAGCATTGAACGCCGGTTAGGCGTTTGTGGTTTTCGGTTCGAACAAGTATGATCCGAGCACCGAGGAGAGGTGAACCCAGCTTCCAAGACTCATGTTGCCAGATTAATAACAAATAACAATGGTAAGAAAATGAGGTTAGACGCAAATCGAATAAGAATGGAATCGAGAAATAGCAGTTTAAAACTATTCGGGATGTAATGACAGTTAACAGCTTAATGCGAGAAACCGTGTCAAGAAAACCCATTGACTGCGCGACTGTGCCGTGTCCGCATGAGTACCCAACCACTGGTATGGATCAGCTCGAGACACTCATGCACGAAGACGACATACACCAGATGGACCACGTATCCCAATTTACCTATACAAGTCTTTGTATCACGTCAACGACTGGCCATCTCGCGATTTTTCCCAAATTGGTGCAGCGACAATGCATAATGCAGGTCGTACAGCCAATTAATTGACATAGAGAACATCAGACTCAGCCCACGCAAGCCGCCCAAGTGCAACAAAAACTAAAGTGAGACGCCAAAGAGTATCATGCCAAAAATGTATTGGCGAACCTAGGCATTGCTCACCCAGTGTTCTACCTATATATATATATATATATATATATATATATATATATATATATATATATATATATATATATATATATATATATATATATATATATATATATATATTGATATGTAAGCGACTGATGACCGTTCGCCTACGACTCGGAAGAGGTAAGTTTGCTACTTTTATAAGCACGTACGGTCCGACCATGTGTTATCCTGATGACACGCGTGATCAATTCGACGCTCAGCTATCCTCCGTGATACGGTCTGTGTCAGGGAACGACCGACTATTTCTACTGGGTGACTTCAACGCGCGCGTGGGGCGTGATGCATCGGTGTGGACAGATGTTATCGGTTCGCATGGCATTGGTTCAGCGAATGCGAACGGTGACAGCCTGCTCTCACTGTGTGCCACTCACAGCCTGACGATCACGAACACTCAGTTTGCACTGAGTGCGAGTGATATAGCAACTTGGACGCACCCACGGAGTGGTCACACTCACCTGCTCGACCATGTCATCGTACGTCAGCGTGATATGCGTGAAGTGCGCATGACACGTGTACTGCGTGGAACTGAGTGTGGCACTGATCACAAATTGGTGCGGAACAAACTGCACATATATTTTCGTAAATCTGTGTATTTCACTCCCGCCGTGAGTCGGCGTAAATTTAACATTCTCTCCCTCATTACGGTGGCGAAACGTATTGAGCTGGAGAAGCCGATGGCTGCACGCCTGTGTGATGTGGAATGCCTAGCCACAGTGGGCGATCTGTGGCACCACATACGCGACCAGGTGACAGCTGCTGCCGAGTAAACCATCGGGCGCGCAAACTGTAAGCGGCCTGATTGGTTTGAAGACAACAATGCGACGATTGGCGCATTAGTGCCGGAGAATGCAGCATTTGCTGCATATGTGGCAGACCCCAGTGACTTGGAGAAGAATAGACAGTTTCTCAAATTTCGACGGCGACTGACCCGAGAGCTCCGTCGCATTAAAAATACATGGCGGACGGAGAAGGCGAAGCAGATGGAATGCTACGCCGAACGCCGCCAACACAAGGAATTCTTTGACTCTTTGAAGGCGGTGTTTGGACCGAGATTGGAGCCGCTGAGGACGCTGATCGATGGTAGTTCAGGCGATACCTGCACACAGATTGCAGACATAATGCAGATCTGGCAAAAGCACTTTGTCTCTTTAACAACTGTTCAGAGATCGACTGGCTTACATTGAACGGCCTCAAGCAGCACGATGTGAAGACGAGTCTGGCGGACACGCCGGCACTGGATGAAACGCAGATAGCACTTGCTCAGCTGAGAAACGGCAAGTGTGCTGGCGCCGACGGGATCCCGCCTGAAGTATTGAAACACGGCGGATCCGCGTTGTTGACTGCGCTGCACCACTTGGTGCAACGCGTGTGGATTGAGGGGGGAGTGCCTCCTGAGCTGAAGGATGCCCTTGTGCTACCAATGTACAAGGGCAAAGGTAGCAAACAATGTTGCACGAATTATCGTGGCATCAACTTGCTGAGTTGTGTGGGCAAGGTGATTGCCCGAATCCTGCTCAACCGCCTCGTCAGTCAGGTGGTGGAAACTAACGTGGCGGAAGAGCAGTGTGGATTTCGCTCGCGTCGCAGCACTATATATATGGTGTTTGCGGCTCGTCAGTTGCAGGATAAGTGCAGAGAACGAACACCAGCCGTTTTACTCAATTTTTGTTGATTTCACCAAGGCATTTGATATGGTGAACCGCGAGGCATTGTGGATGGTGTTGGATAAATTTGGTTGCCTGTATAAGTTTGTAAGTTTAATTGTATGTCTGCACAGTGGTATGCGAGCGAGGGTGCAGCTGAGTGGAGAGACCTCGGATGACTTTGACGTTGTCACTGGTGTGAAGCAAGGCTGCGTCTTAGCTCCTGCCGCACTAAATATTTATCTTCATGCAATGATGTTCTGTGCTTTTGATGCGGCCTGTGTTTACGGTGTTCGTGTGGAGCACCGTATTGATGGTGGGTTGCTGAACATCCGTCGTTTCGGTGCAAGAACCGTAGTCTATGACAACTATCCGTATGTTGCTGTTTGGTGACGGCTGTGCGTTGTTTTCACACAGCGCGGGTGAGTTGCAGCACATGACTAGTCCTCTGGCTTTGGCAACGGCTAAATTCGGGCTCTCCATCAACACAAGCCGAGCTGTTTGTCTCTTAAAGCCTTCACCAGAGGTGCAATTTGCAATGGTGCTGCGAGTCATCAGCATTAGTGTTGAAGTATTGGAAGCCAATTCCCG